GTGGCATCCCCCCTTCTTCTTACAACACTCAACAGACGTCTGGGGACAGAGGAGACCAGTTTCTCAAGTTTAGAAATAGGAATGCTCTCCCATTCATGTCTAATACAGGCCTCTATCTGTTCAATCGTCTTGGGCCTTCTTTGTCGCACCTTCCTCTTTATGATGCGCCAAATGTTCTCTATAGGTGAAAGATCTGGACTGCAGGCTGGCCATTTCAGTACCCGGATCCTTCTCCTACGTAGCCATGATATTGTGATTGCTGCAGAATGTGGTCTGGCATTATCGTGTTGAAAAATGCAGGGTCTTCCCTGAAAGACGTCTAGATGGGAGCATATGTTGTTCTAGAACCTGAACATAGTTCTCTGCATTAATGGTGCCTTTCCAGACATGCAAGCTGCCCATGCCACAAGCGTTCATGCAACCCAATACCATCAGTGATGCAGGCTTCTGAACGGAGCGTTGATAACAACTTGGGCTATCCTTGTCCTCTCTGGTCCGGATGACATGGCGTCCCAGTGATCCATAAAGAACTTCAAATCGTGACTCATCTGACCACAGAACAGTCTTCCATTTTGCCACACTCCCTTTTAAATGACCGCTGGCCCAGTGCAAATGTCTGAGCTTGTGGAGCTTGCTTAGAAATGGCTTCCTCTTTGCACTGTAGAGTTTCAGCTGGCAACGGCGAATGGCACGGTGGATTGTGTTCACTGACAATGCTTTCTGGAAGTATTCCTGAGCCCATTCTGTTGTTTCCTTGACAGTGGCATTCCTATTTGAGGTGCAGTGACGTTTAAGGGCCCGAAGATCACGAGCATCCAGTAGAGTTTTACGGCCTTGACCCTTACGCGCAGCAATTGTTCCAGATTCTCTGAATCTTTTGATGATGTTATGCACGGTTGATGATGATAACTTAAAAGTCTTTGCTATTTTACGCTGGGTAACACCATTCTGGTATTGCTGCACTATCTTTCTGTGCAACAATGGTGGAATTGGTGATCCTCTTACCATCTTGGCTTCTGAGAGACACTGACACTCTGAGAAGCTCTTTTTATACCCAATCATGTTGTCAATTGACCTAATTAGTGTTAATTGGTCTTCCAGCTGTTCGTTATATGCTCAATTTCCTTTTGCCAGCCACTTATTGCTACTTGTCCCAACTTTTTTGGAATTTGTTGACACTGTGAAATTTTGAATCAACATATTTTTCCTTTAAAATGTTACATTTACTCAGATTAAACTTTTGATCTGTCATCTATGTTATATTACGAATAAAATATTGACATTTGCCATCTCCACATCATTGCATTCAGTTTTTATTCACAATTTGTTTAGTGTCCCAACTTTTTTGGAATCCGGTTTGTAAAATAACATTTTTCTGCAAGATATTAAAGTGAGGAGGAGCTACACTGTGATTTTTTTTTTTTTTTCTTGTCCGAGGCAGCACAAACTGACAGATCCTGGTGAGGGAGTCATTTTATCCACCCCCAGTGGCAGAACCAGGGGGTGGCCAATGGGGTCCTTGGTCACTAGAGATTAACCTTTGGCCACCCCAATTATTTGAGGAAACAATTTTAGGCTAACTAGAAGGATAGTTTCCTCAAATGACAAGGCAACCCAATTTTCAATAGTGATTTTTTTTATGCCTAATGGATATTGGTGCCTCACTTATTTTTTCAAGTTATCATGCTCACAACATGCGCATACAGACAGAGTATCTTCAATCCCCCCTTCACTCTGTAGAGGACAATAATTGATTTTGTGTTATAAATCTGACTCACACACAGTTTCTAACAGCCAGAGTTTTTCTATGCTCCCTCAGTTACTTCACAGTTAATTACAGATTTATGTTGCAAGATCCTCTGTTATTGGCAAAAGATTTTACGTTCACAAATCAACACGGTTTCACATCAATCACCAAGCGTCATTCGCCTCGTCTGCTCAACAATGTGCTGAAATGTCTATGAGGAGGAACTGGGCATGTTTATAGTGACAGATGGTGCACGCATCAGGATTCAAGTGCTGTTTTTCCTTCTTCTGCAATTTCTTTCTAAAATTAATCAATAACAACTGAATGAATTAGAAAAAAATTCTTATTTATAAATAAATGAGAGCAACGTAAATCAACACCAGTCAACACCTAAACAAATTATCTGAGGTCCGGGAGTCTTAGGTTTAAAATGTATTGACATTTTAAATAAACGATGTGTCTGATCATTTTTGACAAACTAAATATTGACAGAACTTTTTATTTCTTAGATTTGGTTTTGGTAAGCATTTTCCATCTCTGGAGCTTTTTTTGATCACTGTGCTGTAAATTAATAAAGTATAAACTATAAATCATGAGAATCCTGAAATTTGTCATTGGACAATCTGCTGTTGGTGCTGGATAAAAAAAACAAGGAACAAGATATGAGGAACCTACAAGTCTAAAAGGAACATAAACTCTTTGTCAAGTCCAACACCCACCATTTATTACATATAAAGACAAATATACTAGAGTCAACAAATAAAAAACTATGTTCTGTGGCAAACAATGAAACATAGAGCAAACTAGAAGATTTCAAGCAGTTTCCCTTCATTTCCATTTATGGGGTGTGATGTCACACCAAGGAACCAAACATGCAAGACCATCAAAATACCATTGTGCATGGTTCTTCACCTGTGAATACACACTCCTGCCTGTGAATACGCATTCCTGCCTGTGAATACGCACTCATGCCTGTGAATATGCACTTCTGCCTGTGAATACACACTCCTGCCTGTGAATACACACTCCTGCCTGTGAATACACACTTCTGCCTGTAACTGCACACTCCTGCCTGTGAATACGCACTCCTGCCTGTGAATATGCACTCCTGCCTGTGAATACACACTCCTGCCTGTAACTGCACACTCCTGCCTGTGAATACACACTCCTGGCAGTGAATACACACTCCTGGCGGTGAATACACACTCCAGCCTGTGAACACACACTGACTGCACACTCCTGGCAGTGAACACACACTCCTGCTTGTGAACACACAAACCTGACTGACCACTTCTTGGCAGTGAACACATACTCCTACTTAAAAATACACACTCCTACTTGTGAATACACACTCCTACTTGTGAACACACTCCTACTTGTGAATACACACTCTTGGCAGTGACTGCATAAACACTCCTGACCGTAAATCCACACTCCTGACCGTGAATACACACTCCTGACCGTGAATACACACTCCTGACCGTGAATGCATACTCTCGACCGTGAATGCGTACTCTCGACTGTGAATGCGTACTCTCGACTGTGAATGCGTACTCTCGACTGTGAATGCGTACTCTCGACTGTGAATGCGTACTCCCGACTGTGAATGCGTACTCCCGACTGTGAATATACACTCGACTGTGAACACACACTCTTGACTGTGACTGCACACTCCTGACTGTGACTGCACACTCCTGACTGT